TTCAAATACCACACATGCAGCTACAGTTTGCATGTAAAAAGAGCAACTCATAAAACCAAGTTTGTTCAAAAATAACCAAAAATAGAAAATGTCACATCTGAATCATTGTAAGGGTTTGTGTGTGTGTGTGTGTGTGTGTGTGTGCATGTGTGTAATCACTTAAAAAGCACTACTAAAAAGGAAGTCTATTTATTTCTTTTCCCTACTTAACTAAGCATTTTAGTCTATAATCAGCTGGTTAGCATGAAGTATTATTAAGGCACTATTTTTACAGTACCCATTTTTATGGGTTTTTTATGTTACATGAACAGTGGTTTTTTAAAAAATGCATGAATTGGTTTACTCTCTTTTATGCTTCCTATATTAAGTTAAACCAAAGCTCTGGATCTTGGCATAATGGTAATGCGAGTGGAAACAAAAAGAGTTCAATCTTCAAAGTGCCTCAATTTTACTCTATTCATTCTATCACATTAAAGTCTCATTTTATCAAAAGTAGATTTTTTTAAAAACCCATATTTAAGATAATTTCAGAGTTTGTTACAAAATGCATAAAATGAAAAAAATCTTTATTTTAATAAGTCACTGACAACTTTAGGATAAAATACATAAAGCAAATTATTTCATCATGAGCGTAAAATTACTTTAAAAAAACCCTTATTAAGTGCAGAAAGTCACATATATCAAACATAACTACTCAGAAATAATACTATTCAGAAAAAGAAGTAAACTCCTCCATGCCATTTCAGAATCTTTCATTTAAGGTCATTTTTTCATTAGTAAAAGTTAGTTGTCAATTAAAAGAATATCACCCAAACAGCACAAAAAAAACTGACAAAAGCTATACACAGATAACTCGGAAATTAATAAAAAGGCCAAGTAATAATACATGAAAAGTTGCTTACCCTCATTCATTAGAAGACAAAATAAAACTGTAAACCATTTTTTAAAAACGTATCCACAATTCTGAATATGTTTTAAAAATTTGAGTCTGGAATTTATAGGACTGTGTTCAGTATATACTAGGTCATGGGATCCAGTAGCAAAGTGAAATACTGCAGTCAAACACTCTGAGTAGTTTTAAAGGGAAGTTTTTTTTAAAGATTTATTTATTTACTTTTAGAGAGGGAGGGAGACAAGGAAAAAGAGAGGGAGAGAAAGAGAGGGTGAGATATCTGGTCACCTCTCACATGCCCCCCACTGGGGACTGGCCTGCAACTCAGGCATGACCTCTGACTGTGAATCAAATCAGCAGCCTCTGGGTATACAGGCCAGTGCTCAAATCACTGAGCCACACCAGCCAGGGCTAAAAAAGAGCTTTTAGAAAGAGGGTACAACAAACCAACAGAAAAGAAAAGAATGGAGTTCAGGAACTCCTTAGCATGGACCCAACTCTGAAGAGGCAGAAGTAGCTAGTAAATCTGTCATCTTATTTTTTATTTAATGATTTTCAGAGAGAGAGAGAGAAACATTAATTTATTTTTCCACTTATTGATACATTCACTGATTGATTCTTATATGTGCCCTGACCAGGCCACTTGCCCTCAAATGAGGGCAAGTCTCATTTCAGCAGAAGCCAACAGGGATCAAACCTGAAACCTTAGCATATCAGGACCACACACTAACTGAGCTACTGGGCCAGGGCCAGGGCCAGTGAATCTGCCAGTTTAGATTTAGTAAAGTGCTTCACATCATTCTCAACAAGTGGAAAGCTATCATATGCCATAATTACCCACGTACTATATGATTCCCTGAAAGTTAATTTCTCCTGAGTAACTAGTTTTCACCCCTTACTATTCCTTTCCACTAGTGCCCTGAGAATTTATCAAGTATAACTAGATAACTAATAACACATTATATAAATTACATATACTATTAAGGCCAAGAATTTGGACTCCCTTAAAAATAGCATTCAACAATGGTAATTTTAATATACTAGAGGATATAGTAATATAAATATAATCAACCTTTTTTTCTGTATAATCACTAGAAGCAGACTTCAAAGTCTTGTTTCTAACTCATTCATGAATTTACATTTTTCCACTGGGGATTGGGCAATTCTTACTAATATGCATATAGTTAATTCCATTATTTATGTCTTCATGAGCTCAGTTCAGGTAACTGCAAGAAAGCACCTGAATAAAATCTTTTCATATTAAAATTTTCCTATGGTTATTCACTCTGTTCTTCCTTCAAATAAATAAATACAGTTCTTCCTTGACCATAATCTATTATTGTTTCTCTCTTTTCCCTAAAAATGTTTCCTAACAGGGCATGAAACTTATTAAAAGGCCTGAAGAGCAGTGAAATTCAGTTCTAGCCCCATCCGTGGAAGGTTCCATTTATCTCATCAGCTGCATGCTTATCTAGCTGAGCTTCTACAGTGAACTTCTATAAGTTCTAAGCAGTGACATGAAATATATTTGAGTAAGAAAGCCTAAATTTCGGCAAAATAAAGAGTTTGCAGCAACCCTTGCTTAGCCAGGTCCCCCACCACTACCCTAAACAAGGGCTGGGGTAGAGGTGTGGTTGACACCCGGATATCTGAGGGAAAACTAGAACAAAAGAATTGATCACTGGTATGGGTTTCTGTCCCTCTTCCCAAGCTAGTGAGGGTGGAGGAAAAAAGGGAGACAATAAAAAAGCCCCAGCTAGATTTGGAGGATCCAAGAATAGATGAACCCTGAAGAGACAAAAAGGCAGCTAGAGAAGAAGCCCTCCATTCCCATGCAACGCTCAGGCCAGAAACAGTAAAATAGGAAAAGTAGCCTGATATGCACGAGGAATTGGCTCTCACTGATTACACTATCTTCAGACCAACTGACTCCACTTCCACTAGCATCTGCCGTCAGTGCTGAGGAAGTCACAGACACCATACTGAATTCAACAGCAACAGAGCCCAGTAACTCACAGGTGGGGAGAGGGCAAGTCTCACTTCAGCAGAAGCCAACAGTGGGAAGAGAATAATGGTGAACCATAGTGCCTCCCACAATAACAAAAGAGCTCTCTGGAATCCAGTTACCACCCAAAGAAGGTGGAAGAGGGGACAGACAAATATAAAGTGCCATGTAAAAAAAGATTAGGGGACTAGAGGAAACAAAGGCAAGGAGCCAGGCACTAATTTGAGTTAGAGAACAAAAACAGAGTTAAAATAGGCACTCTTCCTGCAATTTCCAGCACATGCTGAAGAGAGGCAGTGTGGTGTGAGAATATCTGGTAAAGTCTGCCCCAGCCACAGACTGAGAACATGGTCCATCTGTGACCTTGCAAGCTAAGCATGGTGATAACCTGACCACAGCCCTTTCAATATGGAAACCAGAGGCTCCCAGCACCTGCACACCATCCCCTGTCAGGCAGGACTCCTTTGTCAAGGCCCTGAACAACCTACATGCAGCCCCTGTGGCCCAGAGGGTCAAACACCAAGCAGTCACTCCTACTACAAGCACCCTGTGGCCTACGTGCTCTGATGACCTCTGCATGCATTGCACACTCAGCTACCAACTGCTGATTAGCTGCTCCCTATCTGCACTCTAGAGTGTGGCCTATTATTTACCCAGGAACTCTAGACCACTCCCACCCTGATCAAACTAGTAAACTTCTCTGATGCCTAGTGGCCAAAGCACACCTCCAAAAATGTCTGAGCCCCTTCTATGTCCTTCCTTAGACAGTCTCTCAGCTCTAGAGTACCACATAGAGTTTCCTTATATTTTATAATTACTCTTTTATCATAGTTAACAATTCTTCATATTGAACTTACCCTGATTAACATAATGTATGGTTTTTATCTTTTGAATGGACCCAGAGGGCTACATCCTCCTAATGTTAAAATCATAGTCTACCAGTATTTTCATTTTCTCTACTGATGCCTCTCTCAAAATCATCATTTCCTGTCCATCCCCTGGGCCATTCCCAGCCCTTAATGTCTCTCTCTATAGAGATGGTCTTGGACAACTTTAGCTCTAGCCTATAACCCTCCCCACCAAACACATTTTGTCAGCTTGAGAATACACAAGGGTTCTCTCCTTCCTATTAGGTCAAGTATGAACTCCTACATTGAGATTTTAAGGCCCTCTGTGACCTGGCCTCACCTAGCCAATCCGGCCTCACCTAGCCAATCCAGCCTCACCTAGCCAATCCAGCCCCACCACAGAAATACTTCCCTCCAGGCAAGATCCATGCAGATGTCTAGCCAACCCCATGCTTAATCCTATTGTCATGTCTCCCTTCTTGTTCCTTTCTTCTCCCTCTTTCCCCACTAATTCCGGAGCCTTCTGGAGCCAGTCCTAAGAGCCCATCATCCATTAATCCTTTTGAGGTGATTTTTTTCTATACTTAGTCTGTGTTTTCCTCACTATACAATGAGCACCTTATTATATCCTCTTGTCTTAATTCTTAAGTGGACATGGCCCCCACCCCCATTAACCCTCTGATACTCTTTAATTTATGTGTTCATGGCTAATTACCCTAACCAATTTAATGTTTTATTCTACTTATAGTACTTCACATACCTTTGCATACTGATAAGCTCAATGTTAAATGATGGGAAAACCGGAGTAAGTCAAATTGTTTTAACCCTTATGTGGCTTGGTAAATGGAGCCAAAATGGGATTTCAACTTAGCCCTATACAAATGTAGTGACAGCCCTGGACTCGTAAATACTAAATTTTAAAACTTGGACACTGAAAAAAGTAAAATTTTATTTTAAAACTTTAAAGAAAGTTGTATCTTAAATTTTATTTTAGTAGACTTTTATTCTATTGTATATCACTCAAATCCTAGACAATATCTCTCACAGCTTGGATGTTAGATTAGTTGTATGGTAAATTTCATGCTGTAGTAGTGATGGAATTCTTTTCACGATCAAATTAATTAAGGGTCTAAGTCTAGGCTAGGCCCTGCACCTAGGCCTAGAAATACAAAGGTGGTAACTGACTCATGAAGTTTATAGCTCAGCAAAGCAATCTATATTTAGAAGGACACAATTTTCTTAAGGTTATACTTACTGATAAACTTGTTTTGCATAGTCTCCAATAGCGCTTGGTGAGCATCTTCAGCTTGTAAAGCATGTGAACATTCTCTAGCGAGTATGGTGCGTACAAGATGCTCCCCACATCCTACAAATTGAAGAAAACAAAAAATTGTTGAGGAAAAGCAGTACTAAGCATCTGTCTTGTGTTAGGCACATTAAAACATCCTTATGAACTACTTAAGAAGTAGCTGTGCTACAGAATACTTCAGTGATGGATGAAATGATTTCTACAAGCAACCTAGTAATTTTAGTAATGAGATCTGGCAGAAACTAGAGAAACACATGACTGACTAATCTCAAAAGGAAACAAACAAACAAACAACAACAACAAAAAACCCAGGAAAACTATTCCAAAAGAACGATTTATACAAGAATTTAGAGACTTTTACCTAGGAATCTTCTAGGGCTCTATCTCATTTTCATGATTGAATAACTACAAAAAACTGCCTTATAATTTATTTGATTACATTCTACTGACCTTGGTCTCCTATTGCCTTCTGGTATCCCACACACCTGGGAGCCTGGGAGAAATCTAGCCAGGCAGGGCCAATGTGAATCTCCCCCAATCTACTTTTCACTGAAATGTCTACCACACATCAACAGCTGTAAAGTGCACTTAATAAAATAATACCTTACTCATATTCTTTCAGCAATTCACATTGCTTCCATGGGCAAATATCCCCATAGTTCTAAAGAAACTATATTTTAACCCCTTGAGTTAGTGTGTCTAAATGTGGACCATTTAGACACACTAAGAAAGGGTGGACATGGGGGTGATGGGCAATGCCTAGAATCTGATTAGTCTCTACCTGTTAAAGCAGAAACTTCCTACAAAAGTAAAGATAGAAAATTTAATTTATAAGCTGGTTAGTTCAAATAAAAGATTTCTGAACAGAGAGCTGGATTTTTTTTCTTAAAAATACAAAATGTTAAAAATGACTACTCTGACATACATTGGAGAAGTAAGCCATTTTTAAAATACAGCAAATGACATATAAAATGCTTTTTATATATAAAACCAATTTTGCTATTAAAGTGTCTTTTCATCCAAATGAGAATAGTCGATACAAAAGATCTTTAGAAGGGGTCTTTTTTAAAAACAGTTTTCCATTCAAAATGATTTTTCTCCCCAATGGAACTTCTGCTTCTTATCTCTTAAAAAAAAAAAAAGAAAGAAAGAAATTCCTGCCAAAAGGTGTTCTGTTAGTTCATTGGAAAATAATGTCCTACATAAATTCACAGATAAAGGATATCAAATGATCTAAGAATCTGCTGAGACCAATGTAGGACTCAACCCTATTGTCCAAAACAATTACAGCAATTAAAAAAAAAAAGCACCACCAGGATCCACTCACTTCCCCTAACAAAACCAGTAACAAAGTAACTTTTTTAAATGTCATTAATTTGCATACAAGTATGTTCATGCACAAACACTATGCTGGTGAGTGGAGAGAGGAGGTTATTAGCAATCTCAAAGAAATGTTGACTAAGATTATCAAACAAAAGAACCTTTTATTTTATTTTTTAAAATATATTTTATTGATTATGACATTACAGTTGTCCTGTTCTCCCCCTTCATTCCCCTCCACCCCCCCAAGTTCATGTCCACATGTCTCAAGTTCTTTAGATTCTATATTTTCCATACTATTCTTGCCCTCCCCGCTATCTATTTTCTACCTGCCATCTATGCTACTTATTTTCTGTACCTTCTCTTCCCTTCTCCTCCTCCCACTCCCCTGTTGCTAACCCTCCATGTGATCTCCATTTCTATGGTTCTGCTCCTGATCTAGCTGTCCTCTTAGTTTGCTTCTGTTTTAGGTGTGGTTCTCAGTAACTGTGAGTTTGCTGTCCTTTCACTGTTCATCTTTTTGATCTTCTTTTTCTTAGATAAGTCCCTTTAACTTTTCATATAATAAGGGCTTGGTGATGATGAACTTCTTGAATTTGATCTTATCTGAGAGCACTTTATCTGCCCTTCCATGCTAAATGAAAGCTTTGCTGGATAGAGCAATCTTGGATGTAGGTCTTTGGATTTCATGACTTGGAATACTTTCCAGCCCCTTCTTGCCTGCAAGGTCTCTTTTGAGAAATCAGCTGACAGTCTGATAGGAACTCCTTTGTAGGTGACTGTCCCCTTATCTCTTGCTGCTTCTAGGATTCTCTCCTTCATTTTAATCTTGGCTAATGTAATGATGATGTGCCTTGGTGTGTTTCTTCTTGGGTCCAACTAATTTGGGACTCTCTGAGCTTCCTGGAAGTCTATTACTTTTGCCAGATTGTGGAAGTTCTCCTTTATTATTTGTTCAAATAAGAACCTCTTTTAAATACTGCTTTAGAAATCTTAAATTCATAAAACTCAACCAACACAAATTGATATGATACACAGTTCTCTGTTCACCTAGTATGTAATGTGACAGATGTTATGCACTAACAAATCTCACTGAAAATATAATCTGTAATTGTTAAAGCATGTTGGTATCTTTCATTTCAGAAATTTTCTCTTACATACAGACCTCTCCTCTCTCCCTCCTCCCCTCCCCCTATAACTACATGCACATATAAACACACATGTAATATATGCTCATTGCCAAAACTATAAACCATTTAAAAAGTATCAAGGTTTTTAAAAGAATCATCTGACATTCTGCCTGAAAGAATCCCTCTGTATTTTTTGGTAATGTGGAATGTGAATAACCTCCAAGATCTAAGTATGTCTTTGTAAGTATCTACACTTAAAGGAGGATCTAGATATGTAATTTAATATGTAACTTTGTAGGCAGGATTGTGGTGATCTCTATTTTGTTAAAACTTTTGCAGGATTATTTTTATAATCAGAGAAAAATGACAATAAAGAAACCATTTTTGACATTTACTATGTTGAGACATTGTGCTAAGCTCATGAAACTCCATAAATTTTAATTCCCTTTGTGTACATATCTGATGTTGAACAGTGAAATGTTATACTTTGGAACAATAATAATTGCTAGGAAATTGGCGTATTATAAGCTAAATGAGTGTTCAGAAGGTTATGTATACACACCTCAAGTCAAACAGCTAAACCACATGAAGTTAATATTACATCGAAAATACACAATATATGTCAGAGAGACTTTTTCCTGTTGTTATACAGGAATAGCAGGGTTTTCCCATGATTGATTTTTACCAAGAAACTTTTAAAATTATGACTTCTATTCTGACATACATCACCTCTAACATAAGAGCTTTGACACCAAAAGTTTGTTCTCCTGCAGGTTCCAATCAAAGAAAAATTTGACTTTTGTGTTTTTACCCACAAAATTCCAAGGTTTCTTAAATATGATGCCATGTAGCTGAAGTATAATACAAAGGCAAAGAGTTCCATTCTTTATTCAAAGATATTAGAAATAAGCCATTCATTATATCTTTCTTTTGTCCTTAGTCATGGAAGTGAGAGTATATTTATGTTCTCAGATCTCAGCAATAAACACAGATTATACATATATTATAGAATGAAGACCTAACAACAAACAATAGAAAAATAAAATAAATATCAAATTCTGAAAGAACTTAGAAAAATACACATGTATTTAACATCAATAAAAATAATAACTGAATGGTTTGAAACACATAGTAAATCCATAACTTATGATTTAAAAAGTATTTGCTACCTTTAGAGGATGATCTGGAACCAACTCAGTCTTGTGAAAACTGATAATTTTTTTTTTTAAAAATCAAGGATCTCTCTGTACTTTCTATAATAAATATACAGCAGGGTAACCAAATAGTTTATGAAGAAAAATGTTCCCCCTAGAATTACCCCAGTTAATAAATAGAGAAATCAATAAAATTAGAATATTACCATTTGTAACCTGTAATAACTGATACAGGCAACAATCATAAATGGCTACTAATAGCATAAAAAAGATACAACCAGATACTGTATGTTTCTTGATAAAATTAGACCACTGTAGTGCTGTCCCTACTGAAAAAAAATTACACCTGAATCCGATCAAATCTACAAATTCAATGATCAATTTCCAAAAAAAAGTGCATCAACAAAAACCTACACTAAACATCAAACTTAACTGTGAAAGATTGAAGAGTTTCTCCCTAAAATCAGAAAGAAGGCAATGATGCCTGTTTTTATCTCTGCCATTCAACAATATACTAGAGACTCCAGCCATTACTATAAGGTAAGAAAAAGAAATAAAAGGTGTAAAGACCACAAAGAAAGAAGTATAACTGTCCCCAGCTGCAGATGATATAATTGCTTATGTAGAAAACTCCAGAGAGAATCAACAAAACACCTATTAAAGGAATGTCTCCAGATTTTTTCTATCTGGTTGGTAATCCAGGGCAAAGGCTCACAGCAGATATCCACCTGGTACTTACCAGTACACCAAAATGTGGACATGATTTTCAATTCTTCCCTCATCCATTCACTCACCAGATTGTTACTGAGCACTATGCTAGGCCCAGAGTATACAGCAGTTTGGCAGCAGTGCTGCTGCATACTGTCAGGTCTCCTCCTGCTTGGTTACTCAGTACTCACTCAACAATCATTCTGGCCAGTCTAGATGCCAGTGCCCTAACTGGGTAGCCTACAGTCCTCTCAGGACTGTATTCACTATGTGTGTGTGCGTGTGCGTGTGCGTGTGTGTGTGTGTATCTGTCTGTCTGTCTCTCTGTCTTTCTACCTTAATGCCATAAGTCACTGTACAGCAGAGGTTAGCATTTTCTATTTGGCAATGAGACTCATGTTTGAATCAAGCTAAAAGACTCTGGGACTTTTTATTTAAGCTTCAGTTACCTCAGCTGTAAAATGGAGAATAGGAGTAACAGCTGCCTCATCTAGTTGTTCTGAGGACAAAATGACACAACACACATAAAACATTTAGCATGGGGTTGTGAGGCAGGAGACAAGATAGCAGTGAGGAAGCCCTGAGGCTCCACACTGTTGCCAGACATCCCCAGGGTCCTGATTACCAAGAAATGCATTGCAGCACCCAGCAAGGGGGCCATAGGTGTGGACTCTCCCAGTAACTGACCACTTTTTCACCTTGCATCATTATCATGATATTCTAACAAATCAGAATTGCAGTTTGA